TTATAAAATGGGCTGCCTGGAACAAAAAGGGAGATTCACAGCATAGTACACCATGGAAGATTACAGGGTTCCTAAACATGTCATTTAACAGATTAACAGAGTTGGGAGCAGTGGTGAAATCCAAATTTTTTTTACTACCGGTTCTGTGGGCGTGGTTTGGTGGGCATGGTGTGGCTTGGTGGGCGTGGCAGGGGAAGGATACTGCAAAATCTCCATTCCCACCTGACTTCAGGGGAAGGATACTACAAAATCCCCATTCCCTCCCCACTCCTGGGGGAGGATATTGCAAAATCTCCATTCCCACCCCACTCTGGGGCCAGCCAGAGGTGGTATTTGCTGGTTCTCCGAACTGCTCAAAATATCCACTACCAGTTCTCCAGAACCTGTCAGAACCTGCTGGTTTTCACCCCTGGTTGGGAGGGACCATGTAGGTCATCTAGTCCAACCCTCCACCCTACACCATTTCTGACACATGGCAATCCAGTCTCTTCTTGAAAGCTTCCAGTGATGAAGCTCCCACAACTTCTGAAGGCAAGCTGTTCCATTGATCGATTGCTCTCACTGTCAGAAAATTTCTCCTTATTTCCAGGTTGAACCTCTCCCTTTTTCAGTTAGGAGGAGTTCAACCTGGAAATGAGAATTTTTTTTACTAAGGCATCTTTATACCACAGCGAGCAGGACACATTGATCCAGTGGTGGGTTTCAAATTTTTTTACTATTGGTTCTGTGGGTGTGGCTTGGTGGGCGTGATGTGGCTTGGTGGGCGTGGCTTGGTGGGCGTGGCAGGGGAAGGATACTATAAAATCTCCATTCCCACCCCACTCCAGGGGAAGGATACTATGAAATCTCTATTTCCTCTCCAACCCAGTGGACGGTTACTGCAAAATCCCCATTTCCTCCTGATCAGCTGGGATTTGGGAGGCAGAGAATAGATGGGGGCGGGGCCAGTCAGAATTTTTACTACCGGTTCTCCGAACTACTCAAAATTTCCGCTACTGGTTCTCCAGAATTGGTCAGAACCTGCTGAAACCCACCCCACCTCTGCATTGATCCCTATCAATCTGATCCTTATCTCAAGATTAATAATCTGCTCTGGAAAATGAAGGAAATCTCCAGGGAGCCCTGGACTGTTTGACTGCCTCAGACCAGTTTTCAAAAAAGAGTGCCATAGGAAACAGATGACAGGCAAATTTAGGATTGAGCAAAAGGTGCAAACTTACCATTATGACCAGCTGATGTCTTGAGGGTAATAATGCTTCAGAACTGAACCATTCTTTAACATAGAAACGGAAAACTGATGGCAGAAAAACACCTAGTGGTCCATCAAGTCTGGCCTTTGAGGGTTGTTGTTTTTTTAATCGAAAGTTGGACATGTGTTTGTCTCAAGCATATTTAAACATAATTACTGATAACCCATCAGTAATTTCTAACCAACACTGGAAGTTGGTTCCAAGCTTCCACTACTCTTTCTCTGAAGTAATACTTTCTAAAATTAAGTTTGTTACAGGTCTTTTAATTTAACAGGTCAGGCAGATGGGCCTTCTTATCTTTTCTGATGTGTCCATGGGAGCAACTTTAGTTTAATAGTAACAGCAGTCATCAGGGAGAAGGCTTGCAAACAATGGGATTCTCCATTCTATGCATGCTTATTCCTGTATTGACAGATAGGCCACAGTCAGTAAGGATGGGATCTCACCATTCCTCTACTCGGATACTAAGCACAGGAGCCCCCCAGGGTTGTGTGCTAAGCCCTTTCCTTTATTCCTTGTACACACATGATTGCACCCCATTGTATAACACCAACGCAATTATTAAATTTGCGGATGACACACACCTACCGTCTGGAATGAGCTCCCCCCAGAGATACGGAGGATCCCGGATCTGCGCACCTTCCGCCGCGCTGTGAAGACTCTTTTATTCCATCAAGCAGGCTTGGCCTAATCTCCTCCCTCTTTTAATATATAAATTTTACATCTGTTCTTAAATTATTGGGGTGTTTTAATTTGTCTGGGCCAAAATGATTTAATTTGATTTTAACTGGTTTTTTAAATTTTTGTATTTATGTATTTTATTGCTTGGCTGTTCACCGCCCTGAGTCCTTCGGGAGTAGGGCGGTATACAAATCAAATAAAACTAAAACTAAACTAAACTAAACTAAAGTGGTGGGGCTCATTAATAAGAACAATGAGTCTGCTTACAGGAAGGAAGTACAAGGGCTGACATTGTGGTGTAAAGAAAATAATCTTACACTTAATACCAAAAAAACTAAAGAACTTATAATTGACTTCAGGAGAGATGTACATTTACCATTGTACATAAATGGTGAGGAGGTGGAGGGGGTTGGTAGTTTTAAATTTCTGGGCATTTATATCTCGGAGGACCTCTCATGGACTATGAATGTTAACCTGCTTGTGAAGAAGGCACAGAAGAGGCTGTACTTCCTGAGAATGCTCAGGAAGATAAATCTATCTCAGCATCTACTTCTGTCCTACTATCGCAACACCCTTGAGAGTGTCCTGACATACGGCATTCTTGCATGGTATGGGAGCAGCTCTGTAACAGACAAAAAAGCTCTATAGAGAATCATTAAAACTGCCCGGAATATCATCGGACTCCTGCTACCAGCCCTGGATGACATCTTCGAATCTCGCTGTTTGAGGAAGTTGCATAACATTCTCAGAGACTCATCCCATCCTTACAATCTTTTTGGACTGTTGCCTACTGGCAGAAGATACAGAACAATTAAAACTCGGACCGCACGTTTTCTGAATAGTTTTTATCCCAGAGCTGTAATTGCACTCAACAATGAACTAAAGGGCCACCATCAGTGAGCTGTTGGACAGCATTACTTGGTCTGTTGTGTGGATGTTTGGGTGGTTTAGGGGCGGGGAATTGTGGTGGGTGGGAGTGTGTTTGGGGATTGTTATGTGTGTTGGACCTGGTCTTTGGGTGTTAAGTGAATTTCGTTGTATGGGTATACGTACAATGACAATAAAGTTATTATTATTATTCATTGCGGTGGAACAACTTGCCTCTAGAAGTTGTGAATGATCCAACACTGGAAATTTTTAAGAAGAGGTTGGACAACCATTTGTCTGAAGTGGTATAGGGTTTCCTGCCTGAGCAGTGGGTTGGACTATAAGACCTCCAAGGTCCCTTCCAATTCTGTTATGCTATGCTATGCTATTCCCATTCCCATTCCCTTCTTTACTGTGCAAATAGGCTGTATCCAGTAACTATTGAGTTGAAATTGCTAAATAGATCTCTTATGTGTACTTTGGACAGTCTTTCACAATCTAGCATTTTCTATACATAACCCATCATCTCCCATCGTGACTGAAGGGGCCAAGGAATTATAGATGTACAGGTAGTCCTTGATTTACAACTACAGTTGGAATTTTGGTCACTAAGGGATACAGCCATTAAGCAAGCCATCATATGATTGGCCCCAATGTTTATAATTTTTACTGCGCTTGTCAAGTGAATCAAACTTTGCTTGGCAGAAGCTGGCTGGGAAGGTCCCAAATTGTGATCATGTGCTTCAAACCATCATTCAGCAAATGTTAATATATTGAGGACTACTTGCATTCCAGCTTCCCTTGGGGGGGTCAGTATCTTGGGAAGAACAGGATATTTTCCATAAGGCCACAAATAGTTCAACATGATTTGAAGTTTTCCTGAATCCCAAGGCATATGTGTCATAAATGCCAAAAGAGGACAGGTCTATGAAAATTCTCTGCCATCCAAGTCAAGGTTGTCCCAAAAATGCTTTTTCAGGAGGCAACTGGACTTCGGTTTTTTTTTTAATTTTGAAGACATTTTGCTTCTCATCCAAGAAGCTTCTTCAGCTCTGACTGGATGGAGGGGAATGGAAGGATTTATATTCCTTGCAGACAGCTGGTCACTTGCATTCTTCTTAGAGAGTCATTGAGGCCACTTGGAGGTTTATCTGTGTCCCCAAGGTCACCTGAGTAGTGCAAATGAGTGTGGAGCCTTCTTGGCTGCAGGATGTTTTCTGCCCTGTGTCCTGCAGGCTGTTGGGGATGAGTCCGTCCTGCCTGTATCTCAAACTGAAATGCAAAATGGTTCCTGTAATCTGATTTTTTTTCCCCCTGGAAATTCATACTCCCGCACCATTCAAAGGGTGTTCATCCCAAAGTGCATAGCTAAATCTATGGAGATTCTCAGTCATCCAGGCCCAAAGGTGCTTTTTCAGGAGACAGCTGGACTTTCTTGTTTTTTTTTTCTTTTGAAGATGTTTCGCATCTCAGCTTGTTTTTTCTTCTGAAGACGTTTCGCTTGTCAGCTGAAGAAGCTTCTTGGATGAAAAGTGAAACGTCTTCAAAATAACAACAACAAGAAGAAAGTCCTGACAGTTAGCCGATCTCTCTTGATTTTATGATTTTATGGTTGGTTTTAAATTTTGATATGGATTTTAAATTGATAAATTTAAAACAATGGGCCAAATTTAATTATTTTAAATCTATTTTTAATCGTACCTTATGTATAAATGTTTTTATTTTGGCTGTTCACCGCCCTGAGTCCGAAAGGAGAAGGGCGGTATAGAAATTCGAATAATAAATAAATAAATAAAAGAGGACAAGGTATATGGCATGAAAGATGACAAATTATATATTAGTGTAGGCAACAAGATAATCTTGGGTATTAGTTTGACCACACGTATTTCCCTTGGCCTCTGCCAGGACTCATTCTCAGGTTATTTTGGAAATTCTTTTAATTTAGATAAGAAACAGATAAGCTTCAAAATAAAGTGCCACCATCCTTTAGCTCCGCATAGGACCCAATGGCACTTTTATAAAATAAAAATGATGGACGGCTAAAACCATGGCTGAAATAGGCTGTATCTAATGTTGGCATCATCTTGTTTTCTAATTCTGTGTCTGTTTTGATAGTCAATATTAGTGATGGCCATTTTGTGACAGCATGTCCAGCATTCTTGCAACCTTCCCATTAATTTTTTTTTAAAAAAAAGACAGGCACAAGGAAATCCATAGTTTTATTCATTTTATCCATTCACAATGACTTACATTTTTAACAAACTAAGAATGAAAGAAAATGATAAAAAGCATCGATGTCTTTGGCAACTTATGGTCTCCTCAGGAACTGAATGCTTTAGCTCCTGTTCTCCATCGCGGCATACAAGCCAGGGTTAGCAATGACAAATGAGGTTTTATCAAAAGGATGGGGATTGCAGGTAGTCCTTGAAATATGACTGTAATGGAGCCTGCCCATCATGATGGTAAGTTGTAATGGTTGTAAAACATTACCGATCTGATTTTGTTATTTTTTTGGGTGGTGGTCATTGTGTGAACACAGTGGTCATACCCATTGTGGTGCAGTTTTGCTGGAAACCTTAAAAAGAAGTCACACAACTGTGGGACATTGCAAACAGCTCTAAACGTGGCCCTGTTGCCAAACGCCCAAACTCTGGTCACATGACCACAAAGGGGTGGCGACATTCAGAACTTCAGATCTGCATGTAAGTTCCCCTCCTTTTCAGATTGGTTGTAACTTTAAATGGTTGCTAAGCAACCAGTTGTAAGTCAAGGATTACCTTTATTAGCTTTCCAGATATTTCTAAACTGCAGTTCTCAATACTTTTCACCATTGTTCCTACTGCCTGAGACTGTAGTCAATCAGACAGCTTTTCCACAACCCTCAATTGATTTCACAAGTTCTGTAAGATAACTGAAGAAGGCTTAGCTTCTACAGCTCTTTCAGGACATAATTCAATGGTGAAATCCATTTTTTTTTTACTACCGGTTCCGTGGGCGTGGCTTGGCGGGCATGGTATTGCAAAATCTCCATTCCCACCCCACTCTGGGGCCAGCCAGAGGTGGTATTTGCCAGTTCTCCGCTACTGGTTCTCCGAACTGCTCAAAATTTCTGCTACCGGTTCTCCAGAACCTGTCACAACCTGCGGGATTTCACCCCTGACATAATTGTCTCATTTGTGTTATTTGTTTTTGCTTTAGTTGATATGCCGCCTCCTTATCCTGCATGTACAAATATTTCTAAGGATTGTTGGATTCTTTAGTGTGAGATTTTATCATATGCTTTTAAATTTCCAAATACACAAATTTTATTGCCATCCTTGAAACATTGCTGTAATTTTATACATATTTTGCTAAGACCTATGGTTGCATATACATGTTTCAAATACAAAAATTACAATGTTAATCTATCCTAGTGCCTGCTAAATATTTTGGACCAAAACTCTCATTATTATTAGTCCAATTGGTCACCTATCAATTGACAATGCTAAGAATAAGATCTCCGATTGAGTGAAGCTGGCTATTAAATCACTGTCATTCTACCTGTTTAATAGATATCAAACAACTACAGATTTCTGTTCTCTTCCAACCCTCATGCTTTTGATAGATTTTAGATTTTAAAAAATGTGGAACAATGATGTGCCCTTTGCCTTCTTCCCGGGTGGTTTTGGAAAGTCCTCGTTGCAAGCTAGCACCATTTTGTATGTTTTCAGATGGCCATCATACTGCATTCACAGCTATCCTCTACTACCAGCATGGCTTAAAAACCAGCTCTGTGTTTTCCTCCCCTCCCTTTTTTTCCTGGATCATTATAATTCTTTAAGTTTTCAGATTGCTTCACTTTCAAAGGAAGAAAGGTTCACATGTGCCACATCAACTTAATTACTCTGTTTTATTCCACGATGAGGTTACCATGTTTTTTTTTTTAATTATCATTTAAAACTGAAGCTAAGACACAAATTGTTAATATTGTGATTTAAACAATATAGACAAAAGGGAAATTGTGAAATCGCTCCAACAAGATTAATTTGGTTAGGACTTATGGTGATCAGAATTAAAAAGTAATTCTGAAAGAGCTACGAATAGGCTAAGCAACAAATAGTAAAGCTGGCCTTCACAAGGGCTCTGGAAGATGGAGAGTCTGGGAGTAACTCTGTAGTAGAAAATCAAGTGAGTAAAAAATGTACAGAAGTGTAAGAATTTCCTAAGGGTGCCTGAAATAGTAGTCTCAGAGCAAGTTTTCCTTGTAGATTAGTTCTCAAATTAATAGAATGCAGTCAGGAGGACCATCTACCTACAGACTGTTGGGATTATCTGGCTCTGCAGACTTTGAATCCATCCTGAACAACGGGCTCTATGTCATATTATTGCACAGCTATGGCAGTTCCAGGCAGCTGTTATGTATAAGTTGGGTTGACAAAATCAGAAATGAGGAAGTGATAAGCCGCCTGGGAAAGCCAAGGGAAATCATCAAAACCATAAAAAAGCGAAAGTTAGAATATTTTGGACATGTGATATGACACCCAGAAAAATACAGCATACTTCACTTAAACCTCCAAAGAAAGATTGAAGGCAAATGAGGTCCAGGCAGAAGAAGAACATCATGGCTTCAAAATCTAAGGGACTGGTTTGGACAAAACTCAACAGCACTTTTTCATGCGGCTGTGGATAAAAACAGGATCGCCAACATCCAATGATGGATATGGTACAAGAAGAAGATTGCAGTTCCCAACCATAGTTTAGTGACAGACATTTGGAGGTTCATCCTTCCTGCCACCAGTTATCAGGACCTCAAAGATCCAAGGTTACACGCTAAGTTGGACAGATCAATGGTCTGTTTGGTTTAGGGAAATTTTGTATGCTCTTGCCCTGATAATATTTTAGAGTCAAAATCTAGATGAGCATCACTCCTACAAAAGATAGAACAGGTGGATGTGGGAATACCCATACCCACAATAACTATGTAACAAGGAAACTGGCCTGATGTCATGAAAGATAGTTTAGGATATACAGTATTCTGGAAACAAGCATCATATAATAAAAGGACAGCCTATAAAAACCCACCCAAGAATGAAAGATTCTAAAAAGAATATGTTTCCAAGCCCAATCCACCAGTGTCAAACTTTCCTCTTGAAAACTAACATCTCCCCACCCTAAGTGCTCTCTTTTAGTTGAGGGTAAGACCACAAAAATAGTTGATCTGTTAGCCTAGTTGGCAAGTAGCTTACAGGGAGGTAAAAGAGTTTGGCATCCCAACCAGCTGAGTAGCGGAAGCGAGGATGCACAGCAGTCAATGCATGTTCCATGCAGTCGGTAACCAGATGAAGTTTAGTATTGCAGTTGGCTTGCAATTTAGAGGTTCCTTCCATCACTACCGAAAGAGAGATGGGGAAAAAATGAAATAAGAATACATTTGTTCTTCACGAAATATAAATTAGAACCACCCTAAGCTCTCATTTAACAATCCTGTATACAAATGGCCCAGGCCATACCTATTCTTTACAACTATAACTTTTGCTCATTACAAATTTAGGTGCCTGAAATTAATATCCTGAGAAGCGTGGGTTTCGTTTATAAAATAGTCAATGTGGTAAGAATGCATTCAACCAGAAATAATGCTCAGGGTTACAGCGTAATTCGAATATGTAGAAGACTTTCTGTAGATATGTGGCTCACTGTACCAAATGCATTGGCCCCAAGAAGATTGATCTCTTTCATCCAATAAACAGGGGAGGTTCTAACTAAGTAACTTCCACCCAGGCATACATCATGGCCACAGCAGCTTAGTAATTGGTGTGTTCCAAACCTCCAGGAGTTCCCAAAGAAAGCTAGGATACTTCAGAAAACTAAGATAGTTCATATAAGTTAATTATTAGAAAACAAATATCAAACGTTCCAAAACTGTGTGTAATTTTTGACACATAAGACAGAATCTAGACACAGAGGGCAAGCAGATACAGACATCTATACCAGCAAAACATTTTTCATGGAACTAATTTGATTCAGCTTCATATGCTCCTTACATGAGTCATATGATTATTATGTCCTTCTTTCTTACAATTTCCCCCTAATATTATGGACATGGAGGACAACATATTTATTTTGGAATCCAGCTGAACAAAGTTAATGTTTGCACCCATTGTTCTGATTATTACAATATTTTATTCAAGTTTCTGGCCCTTATCATTGCAAGGATAGGTATGACATTCTTCAGGTGGTTTTCAGCAGGGTTTCTGAAGCCTACATATAAAGATAGTCCTCAATTTACATCCAAAGTGACTTACAGTCAGATCCAGAAATATTGGGACATCGACACAATTCTAACATCTTTGGCTCTATACACCACCACAATGGAGTTGGAATGAAACAAACACAATGTGCGTTAACTGCAGACTGTCAGCTTTAATTTGAGGGTATGTACATCCAACTCAGGTGAACGGTGTAGGACTTACAGCAGTTTGCATATGTGCCTCCCACTTGTTAAGGGACCAAAGGTAATGGGACAGAATAATAATCATGTCAAACTTTCCCTTCTTAATACTTGGTTGCAAATCCTTTGCAGTCAATCACAGCCTGAAGTCTGGAACTCATAGACATCACCAGACGCTGGGTTTCATCCCTGGTGATGCTCTGCCAGGCCTCTACTGCAACTATCTTCAGTTCCTGCTTCTTCTTGGGGCATTTTCCCTTCAATTTTGTCTTCAGCAAGTGAAATGCATGCTCAATGGGATTCAGGTCAGGTGATTGACTTGGCCATTGCATAACATTCCACTTCTGTCCCTTCAAAAACTCTTTGGTTGCTTTTGCAGTATGCTTTGGGTCATTGTTCATCTGCACTGTGAAGCGCCGTCCAATGAGTTCTGCAGCATTTGGCTGAATGTGAGCAGATAATATTGCCTGAAACACTTCAGAATTCATCCTGCTGCTTTTGTCAGCAGTCACATCATCAATAAATACAAGAGAATCAGTTCCATTGGCAGCCATACATGCCCACGCCATGACACTACCACCACCATGCTTCACTGATGAGGTGGTATGCTTAGGATCATGAGCAGTTCCTTTCCTTCTCCATACTCTTTTCTTCCCATCACTCTGGTACAAGTTGATCTTGGTCTCATCTGTCCATAGGATCTTGTTCCAGAACTGTGAAGGCTTTGTTAGATGTTGTTTGGCAAACTCTAATCTGGCCTTCCTGTTTTTGAGACTCACCAATGGTTTACATCTTGTGGTGAACCCTCTGTATTCACTCTGGTGAAGTCTTCTCTTGATTGTTGACTTTGACACACTTACACCTACCTCCTGGAGAGTGTTCTTGATCTGGCCAACTGTTGTGAAGGTTGTTTTCTTCACCAGGGAAAGAATTCTTCGGTCTTCCATCACAGTTGTTTTCTGTGGTCTCCCGGGTCTTTTGGTGTTGCTGAGCTCACCCGTGCATTCTTTTTGAGAATGTTCCAAACAGTTGTTTTGGCCACGCCTAATGTTCTTGCTATCTCTCTGATGGGTTTATTTTGTTTCTTCAGCCTAATGATGGCTTGCTTCACTGATAAGTGACAGCTCTTTGGATCTCATCTTGAGAGTTGACAGCAACAGATTCCAAATGCAAATAGCACACTTGAAATGAACTCTGGGCCTTTTATCTGCACATTGTAAGTGGGGTAATGAGGGAATATCACACACCTGGCCATGGAACAGCTGAGAAGCCAACTGTCCCATTACCTTTGGTCCCTTAACAAGTGGGAGGCATATATGCAAACTGCTGTAAGTCCTACACCGTTCACCTGAGTTGGATGTACATACTCTCAAATTAAAGCTGATAGTCTGCAGTTAAAGCACATTGTGTTTGTTCCATTCCAACTCCATTGTGGTGGTGTATAGAGCCAAAGATGTTAGAATTGTGTCGATGTCCCAATATTTCTGGACCTGACTGTATGACCTCTTTTCACTTTTTATGGCTGCTGTAGCATTCACATGATCAAATTTAGGCACTTGGCATGTTTATGACAGTTGTACTGTCTCGGGGTGATATGATCACCGGGGTGGCACAGTGGTTAGAGTGCAGTACTGCAGGCTACTTCTGCTGACTACTGGCTGACTGCAGTTCGGCAGTTCGAGTTTCAACGGCTCAAGATTGACTCAGCCTTCCATCCTTCTGAGGTGGGTAAAATGAGGACCCAGACCATTGGGGGCAATATGCTGACTCTGTACACCACTTAGAGAGAGCTGTAAAGCACTGTGCTATTGCTATCGCCATGTATAATCTTTCCAGCTAGCTTCTGACAAGCAATGTCAATGGGAGGGGGGGGACTGATTCCCTTAATGACCTCTTGGCTCACTTAACAACTGAAGTGATTCACTTAACGACTGTGGCAAAAGTTTGTAAAATGGGGCAACACTCACTTACCACATGCTTCACTTAGCCACCGAAATTTTGGTCCATACGTCGAGGACGATCTGTACATAAACTCACATACTACTGTATAGAACAGGTAATGAGTAGTGCTAACTACTAAGGGATCTGCAACCTTAAACACTTAAACAAGAGCCATTTAGACCCATTTCCCAAAGAAAAGAAAACACTGGGAGCCACAAAACCTGGGTGGGTGTGGCCAACTCAACGTAACTCCCACCCAGTCACATGAACCCCCAAACCATGCCCACCCAGGTTTTGTGGCTCCTGGTGTTTTCTGTGGAAAATCTCTCTCTCTCTCTCTCTCTCTCCCTCCCTCCCTCCCTCCCTCCCTGACATCAGATTTGAGAAAGTAGGAGAACCTCACTCACGTGACTTATAATAATCCTCTCCATACACTTCCTTGGTTTCTTCTGGAAGACGCTCCCAGAGGTTCCTGAAGTTCTGGTGCAAGATTTTTTCATTGGTGATTGCAGTTTGGAAGTAACCTGGCTCTATTATGCAGACTTTCACTCCAAAGCGGGAGAGTTCAAGCCTGAAAAAAAATTAATATTACCTACCGCAGGTTCTGGAAGATAATTATGGCTGTGACATCTTGAAAAAAATGCGGGAGCATGGACAAAAGGAAAGAACGGGGAGTAAAAGAAAGGGGAAGGGGAAAAATACAAAAAAGAGAAAGTACAAATTCTACATTCTGTATGAAAAAATATTATAAAACAGATTAATCTCCCCAAAGAAAGCATGGGAAATAATGTTAAGGCTCTTACTTCTATACACTACGCTTCTACAGCATATAATATAATTCTTTGTACTTGAAAGTAAAAAGTCTGTGTTATAGAAGTACAGGTAGTCCTCTACTTACAACAGTTCATTTAGTGACCATTCAAAGTTACAATGGTACTAAAAAAATGACTTATGTCAGTTTTTCACAGTTAAGACTTTTGAAGCATTCCCATGATCATGCAATCAAAATTCAGATGCTTGGCAACTGGTTCATACTTATGACTGTTATGGTTCATACTTATGACCGTAAGTATGGTTATACAGTATGAACGTAACTGGTTCATACTTATGACCGTATGTCCCAAGGTCATGGGAACCCCTTTTGCGACCTTCTAACAAGCAAAGTCAATGGGGAAGCTAGATTCACTTAACAACTAGGTTACTAACTTACCAACTGTAGTGATTCACTTAACAAATGTGCCAAGAAAGATTGTAAATGGGGGCAAAACTCACTTAACAAATATCTCACTTAACAAGAGAAATTTTGGGTACAATTGTGGTCACAAGTCGAGGACAACCTATATGTGGTGTTAGACGAATGGGAAGTATGAAAAAGGATGCTTAGTGAAATGATGAAACAAAAGTGACTGTTAATGAGGGATGGAGAGAAAAAAATGGAGGACAAGAGAAAAAAATGTGACAATGTGTTTTTTTTGGGGGGGGGTGCAAAGAATATACTATAGGAGTTAGGAATAGCCCAGGATAAGAGAAGTAGAGAAAATGCAGAATGATTATGACAGATATAAAAAAATGTTGTGGAAGTAGGGGAAGAAAGGATAGGATGCAACAAATACAAATCTGAAAAGTGAATAGCAAAAGTTAGGTTTGATGGGGAAAATGGAAGTTATATCTACACAGAAAGAAACTGGAACACGTCAATTATTTTAGGTGCCGCGCTAGAATATTTACTGTTCTTCTGTCAACTCTATTATATGGAAGTGAGAATTGGATATACTGTAATATAATACATAAAAATGTAAAAATGCAGTAGGAATGATCTTAAATACCCCATCCCTACTATTGTATCTTGGTATGTATGCATGCATGGGTATGTCTATATAGTAAAGCAAGAAGAGAGGGCCCTTTTTTAAAAAAACAAACAAACTATTTTTATCTTATTTATACAGTTTATAGGCTGCCTGACTCCTATCTCTAAGTAACTTACAATTGAAACTTTAAAAAAAAAAAATACAAAAGAAAAAAAAAATAATGAACAGCCCAAAAACAATATAAAACCAAAAACTTTATCAAATAGGGGCTCAACTTTCACTTTGCCCAGCCTGGGAGAACAACCAGGCCTTTAATAACGTCTTGAACATCCCCCAGGTGGGAACCATCTAGATCTCTAGGGGGATATAAATCCAGAGGGGAGGCATGACCCATTGTGAAAGAACAGATTGCTTAAGAAAATTGCAGGCACCTGTGCCACCTTAACAAAGAAGGCCTGCTTCCTGCAATATGACACTACTAGATTAATGGCATCCATACCATGTTCCCTCTGGCCAATCTCGCCAAACGGGCAGAAGAAAACTAGAGACAGGTGGTCACTCGAATAACTAGGCCCTACGCCAGTGGTGGATTTCAAATGTTTATACTACTGGTTCTGTGGGCGTGGCTTGGTGGGCATGGCAGGGGAAGGATACTGTAAAATCTCCATTCCCTCCCCACTCCAAGGGAAGGATACTGCAAAATCCCCATTTCCTAACGATCAGCTGGGACTCGGGAGGCAGAGAATAGATGGGGATGGGGCCAGTCAGAGGTGGTATTTACCGGTTCTCCGAACTATTCAAAATTTCCACAACTGGTTCTCCAGAACTGGTCAGAACCTGCTGAAACCCACCTCTGCCCTACGCCATGGTGGGCTTTATGGGCGATAACTATGAGTTGGTGGCAGTTGTGGCTAGAAGAGCCTTTGCACAATTTGGTTTTGTGCACCAGTTGTGCCTTTTCCTGGATTTGAAGTTCCCATGCTCAGTCCTTCAAGCCCTGGTCATCTCACACTTGGACTACTGCAATGAATTCTATATGGGGCTACCTTTGAAGAATATCTGAAAACTTCTGCTGGTGCAGAACACAGCTGCATGGGCAATTCTTGGGGCCCCTAGCTTGGCTCATGTTATACCACTATTCCATGAGATACACCGACTGTCAGTTTGCTTCCGCATCCAATTCAAGGTGTTGGTTATCACATTTAAAGCCCTTCATGGCATGGGTCCAAGCTATCTTGAGAAACTGGCTCACCCCAATGGCATTAGCTTGCCCCAGCTGTCCAGATAGAAGGAGCATACTGTGAGCCCCGTCAGCCAAGAAATTTTGGCTGGTAGATTCCAGAAGAGTCTTTTCTGCCATGGCTCCTGCCCAGTCTAGAACATCATGCCCCCCCCAAGGTCAGATCTGCTCCCACCCTTTTGGCCTTCTGAAAGTCCTTGAAGATGTGGCTATGCCAATTAGGCTGGGGCCCAATGGGAGTGTGGCAAGTTGGAGGTGTCTAATGAAGTAGAGAATGCTACACCTCCTCCTGTGTGCACTTTGCTCCCTCCCTCTCCATCCTGCTTAGTTTTATTTTAATTGAAATTTTATTTCAATTAAAATGAAACTAAGATCTTGATTGTTTTAATGTTTTACACTGCATTTCATTCAATATCTATAAGTTGCCTACAGTCGTCTTTGGAGAGACAGGCAACATACAAGTTTGATAGATGATAGACACAGACAGACAGACAGAAATAGATAGATAGATAGATAGATAGATAGATAGATAGATAGATAGATAGATAGATAGATAGATAGAAGATAAATGGATGGATGGATGGATAAATAGATAGATAAATAGAAGATAAATGGATGGATGGATGGATAGATAGATGATGGATGGATGGATGGATGGATGGATGGATAGATGATGGATGGATGGATGGATGGATGGATGAATAGATAGATAGATAGATAGATAGATAGATAGATAGATAGATAGACAGATAGATAGGACTGACCGACAGACCGACCAGGATTATGAATTGTACCTGGAACTCAAATGTTAACCACTGCAGCTCCTGAAGTGATGGTGTCATGTGGGCATAATGAGCCATGCTCATCACTGCCCATGTTGGTCCCTTCCGCACCAGCTGGTGCTTCCAGGTGATCATCAAGAGAAGCCCACATGAAGTGCATTTCAGTAGTCCATTTGTACAGTGACTAAGGCAAGAGTGATTACCTGAAGAGCCTCCCAATCCAGGAGAGGGCGCACAAGATACACAGTGCAAAGGCTCTCTTTGCACATACTTCTATGAATGAGTACTGAATGCATATGCATAAAAAGAGTGAGCAGTATGAAACAAGTACACTGAGATAGCTTGATCATACAAAGATGACTTTCTATCATGAAGATTTTTTTAACAGTCTGGCTTACAGTTCTGGGATTTCTTGACAAGTCTCCATTCAAATATTACCCAACTCTGTCCTGGTTAGATTTTGAGCTCATCCAAAATCCAATATTTAGTTTCCAGTTAAAAAGAATAGCTATATTTGATTTGATTTATTTGATTTATTTAAATTTGTATACCGCCCTTCTCCCGAAGGACTCAGGGCGGTGAACAGGCCTGTTCAAGATATATGAATATATCTTATTCTTTTGGCTAAAAACAACATTCATCAAAGAGAGGGAAATCATTTATACAAACTTTGTTTTGACTTCCCTCTTTCCTTTTTTAATTCGTTTCATTTTTCTTGGTGTTTAGTTTATTTTTTATTTATTTTTAAAACTTATATGTCCCTTAGAATTCAGGCTACAGGCTTAAAATGGCAGGTCTGAATATATATTTTTTCCCCTCAGTGCTTTGCAGACTGCAGACTGAAAAAGTCTGCAGACTGCAGATTTTCTGTCAAGTATTTGCAAGCCATTGGCACGTATCTCATATAGACACCAGTGGAGGCAGAGAGTGTCACCACCCCTATGTGGAAAGGAGGGGCTTACCCTGAGTATAAAACCCCCTCCAACTTTTTCCACCTTGCTCTCTCTCTCTCCGTCTCTTCTTGCGTTTGTTCCTCATGAGGGTATATAGTTTGTACATAGTTTGTACAGAGTTAATATGATTTATTATATGAATAAATACATTTAAGACATTTATTCACGCATCTGCCTCTGAACTCTTCTATGCTCCTGGGTGTTTCTACGATCCCAACTCCACATTTTCTATTCTCTAATTCTTCTTTTTAATTTAAACTCTGCTTGTTTCAGATTGGCTGAATAATAAGTTAACTCATTAATAATTAATAACAAACATTCAATAAAAGTCCAAGAAGGACTCTGAAGCAAGATCAGTGCAAAGGTTTTCTATTTTCTGTTTCCACCTAAGCAGCCTGATGCCTCAAACCAGACCAAACCAGAAATGAATTTTGCATCTTCATGCTTGTGTTGCACAACAGCTGTTCTTTCAAAATATCTCACCTTAGATACTGGTGGCAATACTGAACCGCAAGGGCTAGTATCCATGTATCCATTTAATTTCTTCTAAAAGTTGTTCATGCCGGTGATTATTATTACACCTTGTACTAAAATATTTCCTTATTTCTTCCTTGTTTAAATGCAGCAGTCAGATAACAAACCTCCAGATATTTTGGAGGTGAACTAATTTTCAGAAAGAGTAATGCAAATTTAGAGCAAGGGTGAGGAATCTTGTTCATCTGCCTGATTCCCTTGGGGGTATTGTCTAAATGGTTCTTGCTTGTCTGCATGTTCCCAGGGAGTAATCTGTGGGTTTGAGTCTACAATAGTGGGATAACTCTAGAATTTAAATTGGCCAGGTCTGTCTTTTTTTTTCTTTCCCCTCCCCCCAGCCAAGGGCCCAGACCAGAGGTGGTATTCAGCAGGTTCTGACCAGTTCTGGAGAACCGGTAGTGGGAATTTTGAGTAGTTAGGAGATCCGGTAAATACCACCTCTGACTGGCCACGCCTCTATCTATTCTCTTCCTCCCGAGTCTCAACTGATATGGAGGCAATGCGGATTTTGCAGTAACCTTCCCCTGGAGTAGGGAGGGAATGGAGATTTTACAGTATCCTTCCCCTGGAATGGGGTGGGAATGGAGATTTTACAGTATCCTTCCCCTGTCACGCCCACCAAGCCACGCCACGCCACCAAGCCACACCCACAGAACTGGTAGTAAAAATGTTGAATCCCACCACTGGCCCAGACTTGTCCAACCTGGTTCCCCCCCATGCATAGGGCTTTACCTCTTATAACTCTGACCAGCATGGGCTTGAGGGTTAGAATTGTGGGAAGCCAAGGCAAATGCATCTGGAGGAGATCAGACTGGGAAAGACCAAATTAATTCAAGCTGTGCAAATTTAAAATCTCACAAGGGATTAGCTATTCACACTGTGCTAACCATAAGGGGTTTTGTTTGGAACTCATTGTGAGGCATGAATTCAGTCACTGTAGGTTGTAATGTCATGTCTGGGAGCCTTGATGGAGGGGGTCATTTTTTTTTTTTAATGTAGCCCTCCAATTGCATTTTTAACAATTGCACACACACACAAAAATTCTGCCCTGTCATAGTTATGACAAGTAAGGCAGCTGCTAATCAATTAAGCACTCCAGTGATCAGCTCCCATCTTGGGGAGGACAAGGACTGTGGCATTGCAACGAACATTTTATAGTGACCAGAATGGATAAGATTGCAAATACTACAAATATGGTTTTGCAAATCAAAAACCATCTATGCTGGGGAATTACTCGGTTTCAGAAAAGCATGTACTTGAAGCAGGTAGAAAGCTGGAGAGAAAAGCAGGGGTATTCTGTGTGAACTATTTCTATATTTTGGATAGAAATGGGTGACAGGCATCTGTTTCAATGGGTTCCTGTTGGCGCGGGAACCCAGAACTTTTGGGAGAAATCGACATTTACGATGCTGTGTTAACGTCATTTTTCAGAATGTATGCATTTGTGTATATTTAATAAAGTTTTACCTGCAGGCACAGGTAGTACTCGATGTACAGCCATAATTGAGTCTGGGATTATGGCTGTAAATTGTGTCGGTCGTTAAACAGGTCACCAGACGACTGAACCCGATTCTACAACCTTTTTTGTCGTGGTCATTAAGTCACCATAGTTATTAAGTGAAGACACCATTTATTCAGTGAATGCATTGTCTGCAATGGTTTTTTTTTTTTTTTTTGCCAGAAACCAGAAGTAAGTGCTGCTTTCCAGCAAAAAAGCCATAAATTGCGGTCATGTGACTGCAGAACAATGGAAACAGCTGTAGATGCAGGCCAGTTGTTGAATGCAGTCATGTGTGTCTATGTGTGTATGTGTGTGCGTGCGCCATCAGAACTTCAAATCCAGGTTGTAAGTAACCTTGGACAGGTCTGCCAGAAAGGGTTCTACCTGTATTCGACTTTGTTTTTTAGCCAGCAAGATTTACACTGATGTTTTATGTTTGTTATGCCTCTCTCATGTACCTGGATCTAACTGTCAGTTCTTTTAAAGGACAGCTCACTCAGTTTTACTCACAAATCAGTCTCCTTGCGCTTGCAAAGGTTTAGCTCAATTTAATTTTCTGTTGGATTACAGTTCAAAACTTTTTCTTCTTTTAGCCTGAGCCAAACATCCATGAGTCACACACTCTGTTACTATTAGCAGAGGAGTTTCAACATGGTGATGGCGAAACATTCTTATTACAGTAATTAATAATTATCAATCATCTGTTTATGTACTAATTTTTCTTTTACTGTAACATTTTTTTTTTTAAATAAAGCAATTGGGACATGCGTGATGTGTCAGGAGGGGGGGTATCAAAATCCCTGGCTGGAACATAAAAGTTTGCCCAGCAGTTTGGAATGTTGGTACTTATAAAAGTAGGGTCCAGGTTTGGATTGTAGACATTGTATTTAACTTTGGTGCTAAATGAGAAAATTGATCGGTCTGCAGTTACACTAGTTTTGTATCCTGCAACACTTCTGTAAACTAACACTTATTACTGCGACAGTGGCTTTTGTATTCTGAAATGCATCTGTTTTATGAAAGAATTCACCCCACCATCCCAGAAACATTTGAATTTTTGCCAATACTGTTAACAGAAAACAGCACTTACCTGAGACTATCAGAGAAAGATTCCACCCCATATTTTGAAGGACAGTAGCCTCCGCCAAAAAGACTTAATCGGCCCATTATGCTGGCAATGTTGACAATACGTCCCTTGGCTCTTCTCAACAATGGTAACATATGTAAAGTCACATCAATCACCCCAAGTAGATTGATATCTATGATTTTCTTGAAATCCTCCTTGGTTAGCCACTCATTTGGGGCAGTCGGGATAGAAATACCGGCATTATTTACCAATCCCCAAAGTCCTAATGAGAAGAAGAAAAACAGGGGACATCAACTAAGTGATAAGAGGTCTCTACAACAGCATCCCTCTGGAATACCTTCTCTCGTTATACGTTAGGCAAGCCAATCTTGTTCTTGAAACATGTGAAGAAGACAGCTTAGAGATCTAATAGCAATAGCACTTAAGACTTATATACCACTTCACAGTGTTTTACAGCCCTCTCTTAAGCAGTTTACAGAGTCGGCCTATTGCCCCCCAACAATCTGAGTCATTTTACCGACCTCGGAAGGGTGGAAGGCTGAGTCAACCTTGAGCCGGTGGGGATCGAACTGCCGAACTGCTGGCAGCCGGCAGTCAGCAGAAGTAGCCTGCAGTACTGCCTTTTAACCACTGCGCCACCATGGCTCTAAGACATCCGTACAGTATCTCATGAAAACAGAACAAAATTAAGTAACTGATAAATATTTCTTTCTCCTCCAACATCCTCCACTTTGTTATATCAAAACATTGGAGTTCATAAAAGTAAGGGGGAAAAGGACAGCTCAAACAAATCTAACTAATATTATCTCAGGGGTCAAACAGTTAAGGTGTTGGGTGAGGAACCCGGAGGCCCATGTTAATAAACTGGGTTTAGGTATGCAGGGTCCAATTCAGCTCTCAAGAACTGGGATTTATGGAAGCCTAATCTCAACTCACAGACTTGGGAAGGTTAAGTAATATTTTTGACCTCTCCCTAGTAAACAATAAGACACATTGCAATAAATACCTTGGTCACTTCTTTTAAAGTTATGTTTGCCTAAAAAGGACTAAGAGCATTTTGGTTTTGGCCATGTATTTTCCTTCTCATTAAAACCTGTTTGTAACTCAAGGTGGGGTACTCTTGAGCTTGCTTTCATTTTCCCTACAAGAGTAACCCTTGACAAAGATTAGAGGAAAGTGACTGGCCCAAAGTCACAAAATGAGAATAAACTAGAATCTGGGCCTCCCTACTCTTAATCTTACATTTTAATCACATTGGTCCACTGGTGTGAACCGCACTGGTTCACACACGTCTCTGTTATGATTTCATGCAACAACCAATTTAAATATGATGGACATGTTTTTATTTGCTTTGGCATTTGATAGTTAATAACAAAATCTTTCCAGTACTTGTGGTCATTATTTGCAATGGTCTGTGGAAATATCCTTGAGAGACAGGAGGAGGAGGAGGAGCTGCTGCCAGGACAGTAGTTGCCAGGGTTCCGACAAATGCCAAGCCAAGCTTGGCTGTCTCAGGAATTCTGGGAGTTGAAGTCCACAGGTTGTAAAAGAGCCACATTTGCCTACCCCTGCTCTAATTAAATCATGAGCCTTGAGCCATGGATGATTTGCAAGTTGACAATAGTCAGGTAAGAGACATCTCAGACCTCAGGAGAATGGAGATGTGGGACATGTCTTAGAAGAGACCCTCTCTAAGCCCTTGGAAAGTAAAGCCAAGGGGAAGAAATGTGCTTTCAATTCCATTATAGCAGCCTTCTACTGAAGGTAGTACTCAATTTTGCAAGTCCATACAAATTGGGACAGTGTCCAAATATTGTCAGATCTGTCAATCTGATATATGCCTGGCATGACAAATACCCACTGCTGCTGGAAGTAGTAGTAGTATAGTTAGTCCTTGTTTAGCAACCACTGAATAGCTATAAATCTGGTTTAGTAGTTATGGCACCATATAAGAAACCATAAGATGTGAATTCTACTCCTGATTTAGGTATGGAAACCAGCTGTATCACTCAGCTGTCTCTGAGGTCAATTCACCTCACAGAGTTGTGTGGGGAAAAGCAGAAAAGGTAGGAACATTAGGTACAGTATATTCAGTGTCTTCAGTCATTTATAAAAAATAATGAAGGCAGGATGAGAACTTGAAAAAAATTGAAATGGACAAGTTGATTGTTAAGTGAAGCAGTCACTAAGTGAGATCACCACTGCGCTTACGTTCTTACTTCAACTTTCCTTTGCTTTACAAACTTGTGAAAGTTGCAAATACAGGCTACAAAATTACTTTTTCATCATCATCATAACTGCAAATGGTTGCTATCCAAGGCAATCGCTACTATTGATAATAAAAATACTAATTGATGGGTAAACAGCTAGCATTGAATCTGGATGGGCAAGCAAAATCACTTCAGTATTTAAGTTGGTGTATTCTTTTCTGGATAAAACAAAGCTGGCCATATCAAAAGCCAGTTTATGTTAATGGATTTCTATGTATAATTTTTGAGGTTGGAAGGCCACCTTGGCTAAGATCATACCATAAATGCCATGACATAACAATTAACTGCTATACAGTTACCATGAATCGAGGCAGGAAATGTTGGCTGCATTTAGTACTGAAGCCAGCAAATGTTAATAAAAAGTGAAGGCTAATCTTATGGGATGTATGTACTATATTTCAAGATTAGTGGGACAAGGGAAAAATTGAGCTTTCCTGATGTAGCTAACACATGGCTGTGTTGGTTGGAGCTGCATAGAACTTACACAACATCTGCATGACCACGACAACCTGATTCAACCTGTGGTCAGGCATTTATATCTTTATTACCAATTGCAATGTGCAATTATTACTTCCTGAAACCGCTTGTGAGAAGAAAGATCAGTCGCAGCCTCAGAAGACACAATGAACAAGAACAAAACTGTATGTAGTGCAGGGCAAGCAACTTGCAGGGGAGTTCTGGACAACTCCCATGAATGTTTGCCATTGTCTGTACTCAGGCTGATGGGAGTCTAAAACACCTGGAGCGTATTAGGGCAACTGTTCTGTCCAGTTTAGTAGTGGTAATACTTGTCTCCGGTACATACTGTAATAATGAAGAGGGTTGCACAATGGTCACATTGCCCAATATATACAGAGTGGCAATGTGTACAGATGAGATTAAAAGAAATGGACTTCAGACCTAGAGAAGCTAAGGTCAAAAGCTCCTGCTTAGTATCTTTTTTTTTTTTAATTTATCAATTTCAGAGGCCTGTTGTCACGAAAAGTGGGGCTAACCTTCTAAAAATTCACCCTAATTGACACAAGAATACTATTATTCTATTTTTAGTCAAACCCTAAAAAAAACCCAAGACGGCCTGAATTCTGTGCCAACCTTTGTCTCCTACTTGGCTTTTCACCCATTCCGTTGCTTTGTCCAAATTTTCTGTGCTGTTGACGTCTACGAGATAGGTCTGCAACCGTTCTGAAGTGGCTTCTTTCAGTTTTTCTGCACCCTGCTGAGTCAGACAACCTGCCAAGACCCGAAGGCCTTTCGCATCCAACTGCCGAGCCAGGAGATTGCCAAATCCAGAGTCACAGCCAGTTATGAAGACATATTTCTCTGTCAGGTTTGGCAAAATCTGTTTTTCACGGTACCAACGGAACAGGAAATAGAACCCCAGCAAGGCCACCACATAAAACCACATGGTCTTCTAATACTTCTGTGGCTGGAAGAGAAGAATGTTACTGGAAACGTCAGATTATCAACCGAGCGGAGGGAGAGGAGGAGAGAATAATCCATAAACAATTATTTCTTGAATAAACCATATGCTTGGATTCACACAAGTTATACTATAACTCAAGTTTTACAAACCAGAGTGGTTAAGAGTTCCCACTCTACCGCAAGCCAAGCAGCTGAAAGATGACAGTAATATCATTATCTTTCAATGGTTTTTTTATCTGCTGTGTTTTTATAATGAATGATTTTAATGTTTTCAGTGTTGTTATATTGTAAGTTGCCCAGAGTTATTGGATACGAGATTGGTGGCAAATAAAACAGATAGACAGATAGACAGACAGACAGACAGACAGACAGATATAATAATGATGATAAATAAATGATGGTAGATAGAGATAATAATGATAGAGATAGATAGATGATGATGATAGAGGTAGGTAGGTAGGTAGGTAGGTAGGTAGATAGATAGATAGATAGATAGATAGATAGATAGATAGATAGATAGAAAGAAAGAAAAGAGAGGAAGAGAGAGAGAGAGAGAGAGAGAAAGAAAGAAAGAAAAGAGAGGAAGAGAGAGAGAGAGAGTTTCTCTGCTAATCTGAGCCATAACTTCAAAATCTCCAGCTGAAAGGTGACATTTAGCCAAGGATACACAAAGTTGACTTCAGCAAAGGACTTCTCCCTTGCTGAATTACATTGCTTTTTGTTATAGAGTAAAGACCACCCCCCAAAAATGCTATTATATTACTTTCCTACTTTAAAAAAAACCTTGAGAGATGATGCATGAATCTCTTCTCTCTCTCACACACACACGCATGCCTGCATGCCTACACACCCCAACACAACCACACATCCATCCACCACACCCATCACCACCACTTTATCCCAGTAGCTGTTCTGTAAAATCAGTGAAGCTAAAAAAGATGATTGTCCCAAAGCCATTCAATCAGGCTCAGGGCTAAATGGGGACTTTGAACTCAAGTCTTCTCAATTGAGGTCCAACACTGGTTTTTTGGAATAAACTCTTGATATAATTCTACTTATATTTACTATATTACAATTAATATTATATAATATTAATAAAAGGCATAGCTGAGAAATTCTTCAGGATGCAGGAAACCTCAGCAGGCTTTGCTCTTCTGGTGGATTCCCAACTGCTTACATTATTGCCCAAACCAAGAGACAGCTGTCATTTAATCACCTTGACTGGCATTCTGTATAAATCTACCATATAACAGCGGCCATTTAATGACAAATATTGGCGCCGGAGTTAATAGCCCTTTTCTCTCCAAGGGAGAAGTAGGGCACAATTACGGTTGTAATTCACCTCCTAGCTGAACTCCACCATTCATTTGTAAATGGGTCAGCCATAATCGTATAACGTCTTGTTTTACTCCCTTTGGGAATAAAACAAGACGATACTATCTTTGCAAACCAGATTGTTCAGCCATTTTCAATTCACTGACCAAGGAAGCTGCAAATGTTATTCTAGGAAGGGATACATTTCCCTGCCCCCAAATGCTTAAATAGGACAGCTGGTAATCACACTTTTGGGGGGGGGGGGCATTATTGTTGCTGTTGAGGCAGTTGTGGACTCCTGGCAACTGCCTGAACAAGAAAAACTGTAGTTATCTTGGCAAGATTTTCTGAAGTGAATTGCCCTTGCCTCTTTCTTAGGGCTGAGAAAGAGTGAATGTCCCAAAGCGAACTTTGTGAACTAAGGTGGAACTAGAACTCCCAGCCTCCCAGTTTTTAGCCTGGTGCTTTTAACTACTCCACCAATTCAAAGGATCACAGGGCCTGCAAGACACTGACAGGGTTCATAATCTCAGAATCAGTTTGATATGAGAGCCAGTTGGGTCTAATGGTGAAGGCATCAGGCTAAAAACCAGGAGATGGTGAGTTCTAATCCCACAAAAAGGCTCAGTGGCTAAGACGCTGAGCTTGTCGATCGAAAGGTCGGCAGTTCAGCGGTTCGAATCCCTAGTGCCACGTAACGGGGTGAGCTCCCGTAACTTGTCCCATTTCTGCCATCCTAGCAGTTCGAAAGCACGTAAAAAATGCAAGTAGAAAAAATAGGGATCTCTTTTGGTGGGAAGGTAACAGTGTTCCGTGCGCCTTATGACTAGCACATACATGCGAGGGGAACCTTTACCTTTAATCTCACTTTAAGGCGTGAAAGCTGTCAAAGTGAGTTTGAGCCACTCATTCTCTCTCAGCCCAACCCACCTCACAGGCATTTGTAAAAAATAACAAAGCTGGGATAATAAATAACATTAAATAAACATAACCTTTTATTAACTGAATGTCCTCCAAGGGCATCGAACATCAAATCTCACTGGAATGACTGAAGGCTGGTTTAAAGTATGACATTCAACAGGCATTCTCAGATTCATTGCCTCAGCAGTTAAAAATAAACTATTTACAAGGTCTGGGAATCCCTGAACAAAACCAAACCAAGGGGAGTTCAAGATGGCATATGGTGGTTATCACCATTCCTATTTTACCTTCACCAGCTGAGGTGGAAGTTTTGTGCTATGAGAAATAAATCAGGTGAAGGGAAGACTGGATATAAAACAAGTAAATGGGGGGGGGGTGAACCCTAGGAGCTAAAAGACTTCTATTTGAGACACTTTAATTAGAGTTTTAAGAAATTAACAAAACACTGACTTGAAGCATTAGTTAAAGCATTCTCCCCATTTTTCCAAAGTGAGCTCAGCTAACCTCAGCAGGATTGGGGTTTTTGGGGAGAGGCGGTTAAAGCGGAGACGAAAGAGACCAAGAGTGGATTCAATATTTCATAAACCGTTTCAGGTTTACTCTACTTTGAAAATAATCCGCCCTGTTCAATTTTACGAAAACGGAGCACTTTTCGCCATTTCTTCTTAGCTAAAAAAGAGGGGAGCCGACATACACCCAGCAATACCGCACCGTTTAAATCACCGTAAACCCCACAAAAGAAGTTACCTGTTCAAACGTCCCCTTGCTTAGCCGAAGCCACGACAAGCGCTTCAGGAACCGCGATCGTCTGACTTGTTTTTGCCGATTTCTTTGCATTGAAAAACTGAAACTAGGTGGAGTTTATTGCCCTCGGAGCCCGCCCACTCAACTGGAAAGGCAGGCAGGGATCTGAATGGGGATTCTGTCATTAACGTCTTGTGTGTAGCCTGTTGCCTACGGTAATTGTTTAAATAAACTATATTCATTACAGTAGGAGGAGAGACGCTAGAACAAAAGATGTGGCGGCAAGACCGATGACGCCATTGTGCCGAATGGCCAACAGTAGAGATGTAAATGCTTAAGTTTTGATAAGGCTGGACTGAATTTATATTTATATAATTTTAATTTTATAAATATAAAATGATTTACAGTTTGTACAATTTTAATTATAATTTATATTTATGTAGATTTATAAACCGAATGCAATTTATATAAACTTAAAATATATAACTAAAACAGAATACCAGTAAATAGCCCGAATCTACAAGGCAGGAAAGCCTAAGTCTCAGAATTTAGTAAGACTTGCAAAAAATGCCAAAAAAAAAAAAAAAGTTTTTTTCAACATGTAAGAAACAAGAAAAAAGCCAAGGAAATATGGGTCCACTAATGGGAAAAGATGAGCCAAGGAGGTTATGGGTAACAAGGATCTACAGTATATTGCATCTAAATGCCACAGAACTGCATCCAATTCTGGTGACCAAGATACAAAAAAAGATTTTGATATTCTACTAATCCATATGATGAATGACTGAAAGAACAAGGTATGTCTAATCTGACAAAGAGAAGGACTAAGGTTCACCCCTGATTCAGGCGTGGGTTCTACTTACCTTTACTACCGGTTTGCAATGGGGCCGCGCACGCGCCTGCATGCACAGAAGTATTTTCATGACGTTAGGGTCAGTGTGTGGGGCCTCCCACCGGTTTTACTACCAGTTCTATAGAACCGGTGCAAACTGGGGGCAACCCACCACTGCTAAGGTTGATATAATAGCAGTCTTTCAGTACTTGGGCTGTCACAGAGAAGAGGAAGTCAGTTTATTCTCCAAAGCACTTGAGAGCAGAATAAGAAGTAACAGATGGAATCATATCAAAGAGAGATTCAACCTAGATTTAAGAGAAATTTCCTGACAACGAGAATCATTGGAATAATTTGCCTCCAGGAATTGTGGGTGCTCCATCACTAGAGGTTTTCAAGAAGAGACTGGACAAACATTTGTTGGAAATGGTATAGGATCTCCTGTTATTGGCAGGGGGTTGGACTAGAAGACCTCCAAGTTCCCTTCCAACCCTATTGTATTCTATCAATTGTTTAGATCTATGTCAGCCAGGCTTCCGGATGGGTTGTACAAAACAAATTGCTTTGGGTAGTATGAAGGATGGCCTTGGCTGAGAGAAAGCAGAGTGTGGTAGGATCATGCCAGGGATGAAATCCAGCAGGTTCTGACAGGTTCTGGAGAACTGGTAGCGGAAATTTTGAGCAGTTTGGATAACCTGCAAATACCACCTCTGGCTGGCCCCAAAGTGGGGTGGGAATGGAGATTTTGCAATATCCTTCCCCTGCCACGCCCACCAAGCCATGCCCACCAAGCCACTCCCCACAGAACCAGTAGTAAAAAAAATTGGATTTCACCACTGGATCATGCTAATTCTCTTTAATCACCTAACAGCTCATATCCTTTTCCATTGCTGTATAGATAGTGTGTGTGTGGGCGGGGGAGTGTCTTAGTGCTTTCTGAACTTGGTGGTTTTCTTGCAGATGTTTCGTTACGAAACTAGGTAACTTGCTTTATGGTACACTTCAAAGTTTGAGCAGGCAAGACTATCTCTCTCTTTGGAATTTTATTTGACCCCAGGTCTTTTTCTGCTCCACATGAGGAGGAGGAGGAGTTGGAACTGGGACTGTCCAACAGGGATGGCACATCTCCCTTGGCATGTTTGGAGAAGCCAGGGGCTGAGGAACATGCTGTCCCAGGCCCCTCAGTCATTGGGGGAGGTAGTCGACCGGATGGAGAGCTACCTGCTCTCACAAACACAGGGGAGGATTGGCTGCTGACAGGCAATGGTGCTGATAGGCAGCAGATCCCCTCTGATGACGAACAGCTGCCTCCCCCACTCGATCCAAGGGCACAGAGAGTGGAGTGTAGGCAAGCATAGAGAAGGGCTGCAATGCTACTTGGGAGAAGGTTGCACCACCCATTCTCACAAGGAACAACTGGAGTAGAGTGACTTAAGGAGAAGCTGTGGGGAGTTAGTTTTTGCCAGGAACAATTGTTTGTTTTGTATTACACTCCCCCACCTCCCCGGCTTTGATTCAAGGACTGCTTTTTTTGCCTTTGCTTTGAGGACTGCCAGGGATGCGGTGGCTCAATGCCTAAGACGCTGAGCTTGTCGATTGAAAGGTCGGCAGTTCAGCAGTTCGAATCCCTAGTGCCGCGTAACGAGGTGAGCTCCCATTACTTGTCCCAGCTTTTGCCAACCTAGCAGTTCGAAAGCACGTAAAAAATGCAAGTAGAAAAATAGGGACCACCTTTGGTGGGAAGATAACAGTGTTCCGTGCGCCTTTGGCGTTTAGTCATGCCGGCCACATGACTACGGAGATGTCTTTGGACAGTGCTGATTCTTCGGCTTTGAAACGGAGATGAGCACCGCCCCCTAGAGTCGTGAATGACTAGCACATATGTGCAAGGGGAATCTTTACCTTTTACCTTGAGGACTGCCACTTGTCTTGCTCTAACCTTGTGGACTGTTTATGCCTTTGCTTTGCTTTACCTTCAGAACTGTCTTTGCCTTGTATCCTGTCTTTGTCCCGAGGACTGCCATTTGTCTTATGCCTGGGCTTTGCCTTGTGGACTTTCCTGGTAATATATGTGTCAACTTGCAAAGCTTTCGAGTTGCCATGAGCAGGAGGGAGGGAGAACTGATAGAGCTGATTGATTCCCCTAACTGAAGTGCATTCCATACATTCTTCCTGACCACAATCAGAAGGAGGGTGTTGGATTTCACAGCCAGACAAAGTGGTTAATTGGAGAATGTGATTTATGACATGGCCAGAGAGGAGGGGAGAGACAGGGTCATAGGGGAACGTAAATCTACGTGGGATTAGTTTTAACTGCATCCAAATATTGCCGAAATGATACTCCTAATAAATGACTGTATTTCCTTTGAAGTTCAGCTCATGGCTCATGAATTAATTAGGGCATCTTTCGGAAACTTCACAATATGGGCTGTTGTTCAGGGGACTGAGGCAAGGGTGAAATCTAAAAATTTTTGCTACTGGTTCTGTGGCCATGGCTTAATTAGTGGGCGGGGCTTGGTGGTACGGTGACTGGGTGGGCGTGGCCAAATCAATATCACTTCTTTGCTCTTTTTTAACCTACAAAACACAACACAACAGGCTCACCCACAATGTAAAAGCAGTTGTGCTAGACTCAAAATGGCCCCGCAACAAGCAGGAACCTCACACAGCCACAAAAAGCCCCAAAAAACAACTTTCACACTTTACACACACACAACACAACACAACACAACTGGCTCACCCACAATGTAAAAGCAGCTGTGCTAGACCCAAAATGGCCCCTGCAACAAGCAGGAACCTCACACAGCCACAAAAAGCCCAAAAAAAAACAACTTTCACACTTTACACACACAAAATTCCACATACAGCTTTGTGAGATTTTGTGTGTTTGTGTAGTTAGAGTGAAACACTACAGAAACACACTAAATCTCAGAAAGCTGCACAAATAGTACTCAGAAAGCTGCCTTGGTAGTACAGGGGTTTAAGGCACCCTGTTATTAAGCTGGTTATTAAGACCAGCTGTCTGCAATTACTGCAGGGTTCGAATCTCGCCAAGGCTCAAGGTTGACTCAGCCTTCCATCCTTTCTAAGGTAGGTAAATTGAGGACCCAGTTGTGGGGGCAATAAGCTGACTTTGTATAAATATACAAAAGGATGAAGGCTATTGCTGAGCACATTGTAAGCCTCCCTGAGTCTTCGGAGAAGGGCGGCATATAAATCAAATTAATATATATATATATATATTATTTTATTTTATTTTATTTTTATTTTTATATAAAAGCAGCTAAATTTAAAACTTCCTAAACTTTAAATGGCTAGGTCTAAAAAAAGAACAACTAAAAAAAAAACCCAATTAACTATTTTGTTTAAAGCTGCCAAAGGGGTAAAAGAAAAAATTTACCCAATAGAACAGGGGTCTCCAACCTTGGCAACTTTAAGACTTGTGGACTTCAACTCCCAGAATTCCTCAGCGAGCTTTGCTGGGAGTTGAAGTCCACAAGTCTAGGCAGGCAGGCAGAAAGAGCTGCTCACCGATGAGCTTGATTGCAGGCAGGAAGATTCAGTTGCTTGCTGATGCATGGATTGCGATTGTCATGCAATCAGCAGCTAAGGTAAGCAAGCTGGAGGCTGGGAGTGGGGGGAGAATAAAAGAAACTTTTTTTCTTTTACATGGCTCTGGCGATCCAAGCTGAGTTGCCTGATTAGCAGGCAACTCTGCTGGGATGTCAGAGCTTGGCTGGTAAGAGCCATTTAAAAGGAAAAAAAGGCTCTGATGATCGCCTTTTTTTCCTTTTAAAGGGCTCAGCTGGGCAGGGGGGGCAGGGGCAGGGATTTTTGCTACCGGTTCTCTGAACTGCCCGCCGCCATCGCTACCTACTCGCCTGAGCTGGTCCAAACTGGGAGCATTTCACCCCTGGACTGAGGGTGGCTGCCTTCAGGGTAGCATGGGTGGAGCCTTACTAGTCGTTGGAGGGGCATTCGTTGAACATTTCTTGAGGACAATAAAGGACTCTCTAAAAGGCCTGCCTTGCTTTGACCACTGGGTCATAACAATCTCTTGCCCCCTCCTCCATCAGGCAACAGAGATTTACCTGCCTATGGACCTGGGACTTGAAACTTCCTGTTGGTTTCCGCACTGACCTTTATTGTGGGAAGCCAGCAATTAGAAGCCTCACCTAATGACTGTGAGTGTCAGCCTTGGAAGCCATCTTTTGCATTGGATCTTCAGACCTGCCACATTTAGTGCTGTGGGAAACTGAGAGGGGGTATTGTATGGAGCAGGGGAGATATATAGTCATAATAACATTCCTTTCTCTGAGAGTCAAGGACATCTTGCCCTTGCACCTGGAGTGGTGTGACTGGGAGGCATCTCCAGTTGGGACGGTGCAATGATTGGGCCATGTGATGGACATGTGGGTGCAGAGGGAAGGAACCTGGACTTTCTTTTGGGTGGGAAAAACCTGGAGGCTTTCAGATTCGGGTTTTCCCAGATGTGCCAATATGACATCTCTAATAAAATGGAACTTTGAGGAACTTCTAGCCTCGGAGTCTTCTTTCGTTGGGGAAGTTACTTGGAACCCTGACAGTGAGATTCAATTATTGATAACAGATGGGATGGCAAGATTTCCATCACTAAGCAACATCATCATTCTTTATGACCACATCACTTAGCAATGAAAATTCTAATCCAATTGTTGTCATAGGTCAAGGATTATGTGTATACCATGTTAGGAATGGGGCAATTAGAAAGTCCATCCATTAATGGGACTGAAATAAACCTTGTTTATATGTTGAAGAAGCTGGATCAGTGGTGGGTTCCTCCGGTTCGGCCCGGTTCCCCCGAGCCAGTAATGGTGACGATATGACATCACCAAACCGGTTCTGCCCCCCTTCTCTCCATCCCACCCCCTCTCGGCTCCCCTAGGACTGTGTCCACGCTCAAAGAACACGCTTAAAGCCAAGCTGGTGTATCTTCATTTAATCGTGGCAATCAGCGCTTACAGAAACCGGAATGCAAATCATAGCAAAACAAAGACGCAGCTGTCACGCCCTTGCAAGCGAGTTCTTATATAGTTCCTTCCAGATTACATTCAGCTGGAAGGTCTCGTACTTCCTCATTTCCTTCGGACGTACTGGGATGTCGTCATTTTTCTAGAGTGTTCTCAGAGTGGTAAGCTAATCCCACGCGACCCCATAAGGCACCCGTGCACATAAACGCCTACTCGGAAGCCTATTCCACCATCACCCATGTGGCTCAACCCCCCCCTTCCAGCTGGGTATCCATGTTCTGCCGGTGCATGGACACGATGTCGAGTCCTTCTTGACGCTCGACAGGCGGCTCCCCCTACCAGGCGTCCGTCTAAGAGGAGGAGACAAAAAGAGATGATATTAATGGTCAGGTAAGGGATGTGGTTTCTGGGGGTTTGCTTTGTGGAACTTTCTCAGTAATCTTGGGGCGTTTATATCTTTTACAGGTACCCAGGATGCTTCACTATCAGGATACCCTGTCCAGCGAACTAAATAGTATAACTGGCCTCTACGTAGTTTGGAATCGATGATGTCTTGTATTTCATAGTGGGCACCGGTTACCGGGCCAGGAGGTGGTTTTGGTGTTGTAGTGGGTGTAGTGGCTGGTTTTAACAAACTAGAGTGGAATACCGGATGGGTCTTTCCCAATAAGGGGGGTAGTTTTAGCATGAATGTTACGGGGTTAATTACTCTAATGATAGGAAATGGGCCTATATATTTGGGTCCTAGCTTTTTACTTGGTAATCGTAGCTTTAAGTATTTTGTCGACAAATAAACCAGGTCTCCGATCTGAAAAGGTGGACATGTAGCCCTCCTTTTGTCTGCCTGGAGCTTGTATTCATCGGCTGCCCATGTCAAAGCGGTTTTCACATGAGGCCACACAGCATTCACATTAGTAGCCCAGTCGTTGGGAGTCATAGGTTTTTGGAGGGAAAGGTCTAACTCCGGGATAGCAGGGAATTCCCTCCCCGTGACTACCCGGAACGGTGTAAATCTGGTACTCCGATGTACTGCGTTATTGTATGTAAGTATCGTTCTACCATGGCATTCGTGCGTTCAACAACACCGTTCGTACTAGGGTGATAGGCTGAACTAAGGCCCTGGGTTGACCCTATATCACGGAGAAACCCTCTCCAGAATCGGGCAGTGAATTGTACCCCTCTGTCTGATATTATCCTCTTAGGCACTCCATGCAAACGGTAAATATGTTGTAGGAATAAACGTACCAGGCGTCGGGCAGAAGGTAAGCCTTTACATGGAATAAAGTGGGCTTGCTTTGAGAAAAGATCGACTACTGTCCAAATAACGGTATAACCTCTGCTACTGGGAAGGTCTACAATGAAATCCATGGCTATTTCCTCCCATGGTCTGCTTGGTTCGGCTACGGTTTGTAATAAGCCCAGTGGCTTCCCTGGTTGTGGCTTGGATACCGCGCATGTGTGGCATCCCCGGACGTATTGGTCGATGTCTTTCCTCATTTTAGGCCACCAGAATTGTCTGCGCGTCAGATGTAGGGTTTTAAGGAACCCGAAGTGTCCGGCGGTTTTCCTATCATGGCACTGGAGTAACACTCGTTGTCTCAATGTTGCTGGAATATAGAGTTTATCTCCCCACCACGCTAGGCCATCATGGTGGGTTAGGGACGCTGCATTGTTTTGTGCCCATGCGTCCGTCCGAATGGCTTTCCGTAAAAGCGTCAGCCAATCCTCGGTCTGCGGGGCTGTCAATACACACGCTTTTAGGGGTGAGATCACTGCTTGTAAACCCTCATCTCGTTTACTGTGATATTGCGGCATCCGTGACAACGCATCCGCTAAAAACATTCCTCTAGCTGGCTTATACACGAGGGCAAAACGGAACCGCTGAAAATATTGTGCCCATCTCACCTGTTTTTGGGACAGTTTCCGAGGCGTTTGGAGGGCCTGTAGATTTTTGTGATCCGTCCAGACCTCGAACGGTATGGGATTACCCTCCAGTAGGTGCCTCCATGTCTGTAACGCCCATCTTACGGCATAGGCCTGTGAAAAGGGAGAGCTGCGTCTTCCTCTCGGCTCCCCTAGGACTGTGTCCACGCTCAAAGAACATGCTTAAAGCCAAGCTGGTGTATCTTCATTTAATCGTGGCAATCAGCGCTTACAGAAACCGGAATGCAAATCATAGCAAAACAAAGACGCAGCTGTCACGCCCTTGCAAGCGAGTTCTTATATAGTTCCTTCCAGATTACATTCAGCTGGAAGGTCTCGTACTTCCTCATTTCCTTCGGACATACTGGGATGTCGTCATTTTTCTAGAGTGTTCTCAGAGTGGTAAGCTAATCCTACGCGACCCCATAAGGCACCCGTGCACATAAACGCCTACTCGGAAGCCTATTCCACCACCATCACCCATGTGGCTCAAACCCCCCCTTCCAGCTGGGTATCCATGTTCTGCCAGTGCATGGACATGATGTTGAGTGCTTCTTGACACCCGACACCCCCCCCCCCCTATTCTTACCTTTTATTTGGCCCCACCCCCAATCTATTGCTGCCTCCTGAGTCCCAGCTGATGGCTAGAGGGAAAAAAACTGTTTAAACTCTTGCTGCGGGGCTTCAAAGGGCCGCCCTACAGCTGATCAGTGTTAAAAGAAAACAAATGGGTAGACCAGTGCCTGCAAAAATACATGAGTAGACCAGTGCCTGCAAAAATAAATGGGTAGATCGGTACAGCTCTGCAAGCAGTTAAAAGCCTGGTAGACCAGTACCTCTTCTAAATCCTAAATAATTGTCACATGACCATCAAGCCACGCCCACAAAATAAGCCACGCCCACAGAACTGGTAGTAAAAAATTTTAGAACCCACCCCTGAGTTGGATCACTATCTGGATAGTCATTAGATTTAACTGAGTAATGACAGGATGGCAGCCGAAGATACAGCAGAAGAAAAAAATGAATATGATGGAACTTGGCTATGCAGCTTTACTGTTGTATAATATCCATTGTAGCAGATGCCCTGAGGACTATATGAAGGCCCAGTGTGATTTTAATGAACCCAGACAGAACATGCATTCTTATTTATTTCAGTATTTCTTTTTGTAGCTATTATGCACATACAGAGGGGATTTTGCAGTACAAAGTAGGGCAAATGGTTTCTGACTTTACCCCCATCTTAGTGTTTTACAGGGAGTCCTTGACTTACAACCATTTGTTTAGTTATCATTAGAAGTTACAACAGCATTGAAAAAAGGGACTTATGCCCGTTGTTCACGACCATTGCAGCATCCCCTTGGTCGCAGGATCAAAATTTGAACGCTTGGCAACTGGCATGTATATATGACGGTTGCAGTGTCTCAGGGTCATGTGGTCATCTTTTGTGACCTTCTAACAAAGTCAATGGAGAAGCCACTAACAACCATGTTATTAGCTTAATAGCTACAGTGATTCACTTAACAATTGTGGCAAGAAAGGTTGTAAAATTGGCCAAATTTCACTTAATGACTGTCTTGCTTAGCAACAGAAATTTTGGGCTCAGTTGTGGTCATAAATCGATGACTACTTCCTATCGCCCATCTCCTCCCAACTTACGACTCTATGACTGTAACCTTGTTGCTGGTATCCTTACGATTTATATTGACTGTTTCCTAATATGATTTGATTGCTTATTTTGTACCCTATGACTATCATTAAGTATTGTGCCTTATGATTCTTGACGAATGTATCTTTTCTTTTATGCAGACTGAGAGCGTATGCACCAAGACAAATTCCTTGTGTGTCCAATCATACTTGGCCAATAAAGAATTCTATTCTATTCTACTTATAGTTGTTCAAGTAACAAAGTAAGCCTTTAACACTTTAATACCATTGGCTTTTTTTCCCAGTGACAACTCTATCTTCTATGTAGCTAAATTTGTGTGTAAAACAAACTGGGACACACAGAGAGCAGAACTTTCTTGTCTGAACTAATTGAATGTTTAAAAGATTTGATATGGTGGCATCTTTCTTGGAAAACCTTGGAGAAGAACACTTCATATCAGAGCAGGGTGGGAAATTGATTTATTGAATCTCTTCCAGTCCTATGATCACATGGCGGTCCACAGTAAAATGTATTTATTTTTATTTTGTTTATTATATTTGTACGCTGCTCAATTCCCAACAATTCTGGGTGACTCATATGTAAAAACATTTTTTTAAATACAATAAAGGTAAAGGTTTCCCATGTCCAGTTGATTCTTACTCTAGGGGGTGATGCTCATTTCTGTTTCTTAGCTGAGGGAGCCAGTGTTGTTCGAAGACACTTTCCATGACCATGGGACAGCATGATTATATGCGAGGCAGATGGAATGCTGTTACTTTCTTACCAAAGTGGTACCTATTTATCTACTCGCATTTGCATGCTTTCGAACTTCTAGGTGAGCAGGAGCTGGGGCAGGAATGGGAGCTCACCCCATTAAGTAGCACTCAGGTCTCAAACCCAGGATGGCAGCTTTCCAGTTGACAAGCTCAGAACCTTTAATCGCTAAGCCTCCACACCCTCTAAAAAATACAATGCCATGCCATGCTGTACCATACCGTACCGTACCGTACCGTACCGTACCGTACCGTACCGTACCGTACCATACCATACCATACCATACCATACCATACCATACCATACCATACCATACCATACCATACCATACCATACCAGCAATGGATGGAAACTAGTCAAGGAGAGAAGCAACCTACTAAGAAGAAATTTCCTAACAGTTAGAACAATTAATTAGTGGAACAACTTGCCTGCAGAAGTTGTGAATGCTCCAACACTGGACCTTTTAAGAAGAGATTGGACAACCATTTGTCTGAAATGGTATAGGGTTTCCTGCCTGAGGATGGGGTTGGACTAGAAGACCAAATCCTGTCCTGTCCTGTCCTGTTCTACCCTACCCTACCCTACCCTACCCTACCCTACTCTTTCTTTTACACCTGACTCAAAATATGAACTGGTAACTTTTGGATACCCAAAGCATTTTCCTGCCAGAGGTTATATACCCGTGATGGCGAACCTATGGCACGTGTGCCACAGGTGGCATGCGGAGCCATATCTGTGGGCATGTGAGCGTTGCCCTAGCTCAGCTTCAGTGTGCATACGCGTGCCAGCTGATTTTTGAGCCTTGTGGAAGCTGGGAAATGGGCCGTTTCCGGCCTCTGGAGGGCCTCTGGGGAGGTGGGGAAGGCTGTTTTTGCCCTCCCCAGGCTCCAAAAAAGCCTCTGGAGCCTGGGGAGGGTGAAAAATGGGCCTACCCGGCCCACCATGCCATCACATGCCAAAAGCGGGGGGAGTGGGCGGGCGTCATATGTGCATGCTTGGGGCACATTGAATTATTGGTGTGGGCACGTCCACACATAACCCCCCCCCCTGCACTCCCCCTGCTTTTGGCACGCGACAGCTAAAAGGTTAGCCATCACTGTTATATACAGAGGAGCAAAAAGCTACCAGTTAGCTAACAAAACATGGTCTGTTTGCAATCTTAAAGCAGACAATTTATTCTCTGGTAGCTGTAGCAGGATACAGACGCTAATCCCTTCCTAGATTTACAACACAAAGGTCCTCTGGGCCGTGGAAGACCTTGTTACGCCCCAAACAAGCAGATTGTATCCTGGTTCTGTAGCCCTTCTTCTCCCAACAGCTGCAAGATTGCAGTTTCTAGCAGGCAGTGCAGAAGTGGCTGGCACATGCTCCTATCTTCACTTTAAGCTTCAACTTGTATTGATTGTCAGCACTGCAAACTACATTCGTTCCAGTGCTGACATAAGGAGGAGAAGAGGGGGCAGCTGGCAAGAGGACGCTTGACTTTTCACCTACTTATTTTCCCTGAAGATAATATCCCCTAGGAGATGGATTGGGAGGGGGGACATTCCTGGGAGCTGAAGTAGTAGATATGGGGAGAGTGATTTGGAAGATGGCCAATGAGACGCAGAGAATTGGGGAACGGAAAGGGAAGGTTTGGGGTCAGGAAGTCAGTGTTGGCTTCGACATAATCGGGGACAGATTGTCGTGCTTAATAAATGAAAGATTTCATCAAAGACTATCTGTTTGGAAATGCAATTTATTTGAGACGACATCGAAACCTGACATTGATCCAAGAAAAAAGATAAATCTTTTAAAGCCAAATCTCCAGTTTTGCCTACCTCTATCAAACAAAAGCAGCTGAAATGCTGCCAGTGATGGGAAGTTGTTCACAAGAAAACACATGGAAGCAGCTGTTACAACAAAAAGAGTTCCTTACCAATTACTGTAGTTTTAACCGGGTAGACAAAGAAAAAAAAAGAGAATTCTGATACATGTTAAAAGAAAATGGGTATTTGATTAATGTACTTCGGGGTGTCAAACTGGCGTCCGCGGGCCAGATGTGTCATGCACAGACCATGCCCACCCCAGCTCCGCAAAGGCAAAAAACATTGCGATACAACATGTGACATGACTGAATTTTACACCCATGGCTGGAGATTGATAGTAGTTGCAATTCTTACAGCTATTATTTAGGTTGCCTTATTCTTACTGAGTAGTGTTATAAATCCCATTTGGCTCACTTTTCCTGTTCCTGAAAGCTTGGTCCAGAAACACCCTTCCCCCAGGTTCCTTGTTTAACTTGGCTTTAATCTAAACGTAATTAAACTGAAAGAAAATGGCTGTGTTGCAAAGCAAAATGATCTAATAAGTGAGAGAAACAAAGATATTATGTTCCGATAATGTGGCTTGCTTAGCTGATAACATTGGTCGTTATTCATTATTAGAAACTATCTCTTTATATCACAGGGAATCGATAGATGCTTCTTGTCTCCTCTAACAGGTGCCTGAAGTTCTTTCCTGAGATTCTTGTTTTTCTTGGCTTTGGCTTCTAGTTGGTTTGACATCCAGTGTGGTTGCTTGGTCTTTGGAAGTCTCTTTTCACATTCATTCTTAACAATTTCAACCAGAATACAGCTGAAAGGGACATTGGAGGTCTTCTAGTCCAACTTCTTGCTGAAGCAGGAGACCTTTTACAAATTGAGGTTGTCCAGTCTCTTCTTAAAAACCGCCAGCCATGAAGCACCCACAACTTCTGAAGGCAAGCTGTTCTACCAGTTAATCGTTCTTACTGTTAGGAAATTTCTCCTTAATTCCAGATTGCTTGTCTCCTTGATTAGTTTCCATCTATTATTTCTTCTTTTGCTTTCTGGTGTTTTGGAAAATAAGTTGACCTCAAATGCTGCTATAATGTCACCTCAGTCCTTCTTTTCTCTAGAGTTTAGATTAACCATATCCAGTTCCTGTAACCGTTCTCCATACATTTTAGTCTCCAGGCCTTTAATCATCTTATTTGCTCTGTTCTGCACTTTTTCCAAAGTCTCAACATCTTTTTTTTATAATGTGGCAATTTTAATTTATTTGATTTCATTCTGCAGTTCCTCTGGTTCAGTATTTCAAAGGGATTCCTGATGTTCCTCTATAAAATGTGTGTCTATATGTGCAAAATCACATTTAGAAACCGGTTGGTTTTGTTCTTTAGCTTACATTGGAACCTGTGCAAGAACAATACGATTTGTTCCAGTCAGCCCTGGGATAGATCTTCCATTACAACTGAGCTCTTAATTTCCTTGCGCAAATTATACAGTCAATTTGATTTATGTGTGCTTTGTCTGTTGATGCCCAGGTATCCAGGGTGAAATATTTGGAAGATGTGAACCAGGGGTGAAATGCTCCCGGTTCGGACCGGATCGCCCGATCCGGTAGTGATGGAGGCGGGTGGTTCGGAGAACCAGTAGCAAAAATCCCTGCCGCCCTCCCCCCCATTGCCCAGCTGAGCCGCGCAATCATCAGAGGCTTTTTTAAAAAAAATTTAAAGCATTTTTTCTACAACCTCTTCCTCTTAAAAGGAAAAAAGCCTCTGCCGATCAGGCAAGTCAGCTGGGATCGTCAGAGGCTTTAAAAAAAAAAAGCTTCTGCCAGTCAGGTAAGTCAGCTGGGATCGTCAGAGGCTTTAAAAAAAAAAAGCTTCTGCCAGTCAGGTAAGTCAGCTGGGATCGTCAGAGGCTTTAAAAAAAAAGCTTCTGCCAGTCAGGTAAGTCAGCTGGGATCGTCAGAGGCTTTAAAAAAAAAAGCTTCTGCCAGTCAGGTAAGTCAGCTGGGATCGTCAGAGGCTTTAAAAAAAAAAAGCTTCTGCCAGTCAGGTAAGTCAGCTGGGATCGTCAGAGGCTGTAAAAGCATTTTTTTTACAACCTCTTCAGCCGTAAAAGTAAAAAGTAAAAAAAAAAAAAAAAAAAAAGTTGGCCACGCCCACTCAGTCATATTACCCCACACACACCAGGCCACGCCCACAGAACCAGTAGTAACAAATTTTACATTTCACCACTGATGTGAACTCTTCTTTTTTATGTACATCAGTAACAAACTATGGCTGGAAAAGATTGAGAAACAATTACGTTCATCTCAAGGCATAAACTGTACAGTCAAGACAGGCACAAACCTGCAGTCAAGAAAGTTCCATTTTTAAAAGTATTACATGAAATACACAGGGGTGGGTTCTACTTACCTTTACTACCAGTTCGCAACGTGCGCAGAAGCTTCCTGATGACGTTGGGGTCGGTGGGCGGAGCCTCCCTCCAGTTTTACTACTGGTTCTTGCGAACCGGTCCGAACTGGGGACAACCCACCACTGGAAATACACAACAAAAGGCATATATGTCATAGTATTTTCATATAAATAAGCAGCCACATATATTAGATAGGAAGATATAGGAAAATGCTGGAGATGGCTGATTATGACAAATGCATAATTTTCTACTGCATGAGAGAAAGCAGTGGTAACTGAATTTTACTAAGAAAAACCATTTTATTTCCCTGCTCCCATTTTTGAAACAGCTTTAAATAGAATTCTTCTGTATAGGTAATCCTTAAAGTTAACATAAAGAAAGGAAGCTATAGAAACAATGGCAGAGGGCACATCCTAATAGGATTTAGGGGTCATGAGGTTGAACAGCAATTAAGAGCGGTGCTAGACACAACAATTCACAGTCCTTATTGAGTTTCAGCCACTTAACAAAAGTCTTGAGGAGTGTAAACAGGAAGACTTTCAAACAATGTATGCTTTTAGTGAGGTAAAGGTTAATCTCAGTTGAGCTCCATTTGAAAGACTTAATCCCTTCAGTAGTAGAAAAAAGATCTAGTAAATTTAGGATGCATTGGAAGAATAATAACACAGGTAGACCTTGACTTAGGACCACAATTGAACCCAAAATTTCCGCTGTTAAGGGAGACATTTGTTAAGTAATCACCACAGTTGATAAGTTAGTAACCCAGTCATTAAGTGGATCTGGCTTCCCAGGGATTTTGCTTGTCAAAAGGTCGCAAAAGATGATCACATGACCATGGAGAGACCATGCGACAGCATCGTAACAGTGCAAAATGGTCATAAGTCACTTTCTCAGTGCCGTTGTAACTTTGAACCGTCACTAAATGAACTGTTGTAAATTGAGGACTACCTGTAGTTCCAGATTAATCTGTACATGCCTTTTTAAAACTTATCTAAACACTTTGCTATATCCTTTTGAGCAGGTAATAGAAGGGGTGACCAAACCATCTAAAAACTCATAGACTTGCTCTAGCAGTGATGTCTAATAGCTACGAGCCAGTTTGGTCTAGTCTAGTGGTTAAGGAAAGTGGGAGACTATGAGTTCTAGTCCTGCCTTAGCTATGAAAGCCAGCTGGGTGACTTTGGGCCAGTTATCAAAGTCATAAGAGGATTGTCATCTCACAGGGCAGTGGTGGGTTTCATATTTTTTTACTACCAGTTCTGTGGGTGTGGCTTGGTGGGTGTGGCAGGGGAAAGATACTGTAAAATCTCCATTCTCTCCCCACTCCAGGGGAAGGTTACAGCAAAATCCCCATTTCCTCCCGATCAGCTGGGACTTGGGAGGCAGAGAATAGATGGGGGTGGGGCCAGTCAGAATTTTTATTACTGCTGCTCTGCTGCTACTCAAAATTTCCACTACTGGTTCTCCGGAACTGGTCAGAATCTGCTGCAACCCACCTCTGTCACAGGGTTGTTGTTATGGGAAAAATAGGAAGAAGGTGGTATGTTGGATAAATGTCCTTTGCTTTTTCTGGATAAACAATGGCAATAATTCCTTCTTGCCATGCTACTTCCACTGAAGATGTAGATCTTCATCTTCCCATGATTGTTAGCATATTGGATCTATTTCCCTATCCTGTATGGAGCCTGCCATTTTGCCTGCCACTATCACATTCTTTAGTCCTTCTCATTTATCTATCAAATTTGTTCTTTTACAGTTTCTGATACTCTTCTTGGCTGCCTACTAAGTAGCTTCAAAAGGACAAAGCCCAAAAGAGCCACCTTGCTATATGCAAAATAACAAATTTGGGATTGACTGTTTAAGATCCTTCCTGTCCCATTTGCTTCTTGTGACTGGTTCATCCAATTAGTCAAATAATCAATATGATAAGGGGGTGATTAGAATTGGTTCCTATTCCTATAATCCTTGAAAAGATAGATATGTATCTTTAAAAAAAAACCTGACTGCAAATCTATATACCTTGATCCATTTGGATCTCATGTGGTATCCTCCTTCTACTGAAAACAGTGGCTGCTATTTTCTTAGATGAAATGTTTCTTAAGGAAACTGCTTCAGGGTAATGAGTAGCAAGGTAAATTGGCACCAGATAAAAGTCAATGGACTTCAAGGGGGGGTTGTACTTGGGGCATAGGGAGTCCAAATAGATGATGCATTTGACTCCACCCTTTGGCTCAGCCTGGTCATTTCCTACAGGTGATCAGAGCATGCATGTGATCCTGCCCACCATTAAAACCATCTTTCCAAGCAGCCACCATGTTTCCAGTGTCTTTCCCCCTACTTAAAACTGAACCCAGAAGGACATTTCTTCCAACAGAGGGAGGGAGGGAGAAGAGAGAGAGAGGAGAGAGGAGAGGGAGAGGGAGAGGGAGATCGTTTTTCCTACTTCATTGTCTCCTGGGCACATATATGCATGCCCAGGCAACAAGCACAATATATACAAGGTGGCAGATCACTTAGTATCCTGGGTCCTTGATATTCCTTGCTTTCTTATGGTTCACCCATATGGAGAGGGAGGGAAGGTCTGTGGTTCTCAGTGTGTCTGTAGGAGGTCCCTGAGAATACAGGAAAATCTAGTTTTTCAGACATGTTATGTTAATATTCCTGAAACTGCCACGCATTTAATTGTGTAACAACAGCAATCATGAGGTAAACTATGGAGGCCTAATTTATTTCAAAATGTCTTCTTTCCAAACTCAAGTGCAGGAAGGAAGCACTTTAATGTGCCCATGAAAAATAATCTTAACTTCCAACTGGTAGAAAACAAAGCAGTTATGAAGGACTGCTTTTAAGGGCCTTTAGAAGTAATGTGTTGGTAACTGCTATAGAGTCATTTTTAAAGGAGCAGAAAATGAGTTGTCTCCTGCAAGAGGTCATCAGTTAGGGCAACCAAGGCTAGGTGTTGTGTTTCAAAATCAGGCCTGAAGTCAGACTTAAAACAATTAAGATAACTGGTATCTAAATAGGACATCTTCAGCTTTGTAGATACCTAGTTCTTTAAAACATTGTTGTGGTTACAAGGGCATCTTGTGTCTTTAAAATACCTCCAGCTTTTAAAATGAGCAAGAAATCAAGTGATTTAAGAATTGTCAGGTTTTCTGTAGACATTTTTCCCCTAGTCATGATACATTTGAAGATGGCCCATTCCACATCAGCAATTGTAGAAGGAGAGTTGTATTAGTCTATAGTAGCAAAATAAATAAATTAGGAGGAGTCTGGTAAGATCTTATCTAACTAACACATTTTATTAAAAGGCATAAGCTTGAGATTCACTGACGATATTTTCATCATCTTGACTCATGGAAATGAATCTCTCATCAAATTCCATAATGACTTCAACAATTTGCATCCATCATCAATCTTAACCTCATCCACCATTAATCTACAGAACAAGTTCATTTCCTTGATGTCATGATAAAAATACACAATGGATCCACAAGCACCATGTTATAAAGAAAACCTATAGGTTGCCATGCAGACCCACGCTTCCCTTTCCACCGAGAACAATCCCCCAAATCTATCAACTATAGCCAGACTATAATGATACAACTACATTTGTTTTAATCACTTGATAAAGATGCTCAACTGGTAGAATTAAGCCAGGCATTCGGGAGAGTGAACTACTTACCCTACAAGATCAATGCAGAAATCAATAGAACCAGATTAATTCTCAGAGCAGGCCTATTAAAATATAGACAGAATCTCAATAACTGTCACCTGTAGCTCACGGTGCAAACCAATCAAATGCATTATTAATAAACTACACCCCATAATTCACCATGATACTGCACTTTCTTAAGCATTGGGTGGCAAGCCCATTATAATAATAATAATAATAATAATAATAATAATAATAATAATAATAATTTTATTTCTATACCGCCCTTCTCCCGAAGGACTCAGGGCGGTGTACAGCCTATTTAAAAACACAGACAAAACAACAATATAAAATTTAAAATAATTAAATAAAGTGGCTCAGATTTAAAACCCCAATAAATTTAAATACCCCAATTTAAAACTATTGTGTTGATAGTCCGGCCTGGCGGAACAACAGGGTCTTCAATGCGCAGCGAAACACCCGGAGGTCGGAGATCTTACGAATTTCTGGGGGCAGTTCGTTCCACAGAGCTGGGGCTCCCACAGAGAAGGCCCTCCCCCTGGGCGTCGCCAGCCGACATAACTTGGCTGATGGCACCCTGAGGAGACCCTCTCTGTGGGAACGGACTGGTCGGTGGGAGGCTATTGGTGGCAGAAGACGGTCTCGGAGGTACCCGGGTCCTATGCCATGGAGCGCTTTAAAGGTGGTGACCAACACCTTGAATCGCACCCGGAAGACCACTGGGAGCCAGTGCAGCTCGCACAGGAGGGGTGTCACCCAGGCAGCAATCCAACCTGAAGAAGATTTTCAGAAGCAACTAATCAAGGCAACGATGTTAACTTGGGAGGGAAACAACCCCACAACAAACTAAATATGTACCCACACACACACCTACAAGTTCAGCACCATCACAGGCCAAAACAAGTAAACATACAAGATCAGAGGTGCCTTCACATAATTTTCCTCAGAATGATAGGATCTCTTCCTTGAGCAGGGGTTGGACTAGAACAGGGGTCCCCAACCCCCGGTTTGTGGACCAGCACTGGGCCACGGCATGCCAGAAACAAGACCACACAAATTAGCCCCATCCACAGAACTGATCCCTGGTGCCCAAAAGGTTGGGGGCCTCTAGATTAGAAGATTTCCAAGGTCCGTTCCAACTCCGTAATTCTGTAACTGGGTGAGAGACTGTTGAATTCAGATACTTCAAAAGATTTAATGCAATTTGAAAAAGACTCAACAAACAAATGGATTCTAGCACATCACGATTGTTTAATTGATAAGAGACAGTACTTGAAATTTGTTTCACATGTATCTTGCATCTGTATAACCAGCCTTCCTGTGCCATCCCAATTTAACTCTGCATCCAATCTAGCCCAGTGTTGGCTTGGGAATTCTGATAATTGAAGTCCACACAACTTCAAGCTGCTATGGCTGAGAAACATTCTTCTAGTCACTCTATGTCTC